CATAGGTATGCCTGCAGGTACCCACCTGCTTTCCTTCTCCTTCCCTGGTCCTGCTGCTCTGAGGAAGCCAGAGCTCAATAAGCAGATTTACAATGTTTGTGCTACTTCATGCATCACCCTGGCCTGGGATTTGGAAAGCAGAGACAGGGACCTGTGTGAAGGGGGGGGTTGATGTGGATAATTTCTGATGTACACAGGATGTTAATCCCAATGTCCTGCTGGTAACTTGAATGAGCTCAAGAGACTGCCATTTTCTGCTGCATCTCCTCAGGTGAGTGCAGTCCATTATTGTCCTGCTGCTCCTTAGGAAATGGGAGGACAGGAGCCAAGACAAAACCCATTACTGTGCTCTCTGCAGCTGGGTCAGCAGAGGCACACAAGGCTGGCTGTGTGTGAGCTGCGCTTGCAGTTGTGGCTCCTTCTCTTATGTGAGCTGTAAACTAATTATTCCTGCCTCTGGGCACTGCCTCCTGGATAAAACAGGTGTGTCTTGCTGCACTGAGCTGGGGAGGGAGGCCAGGGATGGATGGCAAGCAGCAGAATCCCTTCTGTGGTGAAGGCAGAGATGTGCACACCCTCTAACATCTGCCTTCTCTATAAGCAGTATGGGCCAGCCCCTGCACTCAGAAGGGCAGAGCCATAGGATAGGGACTTGATGAGATTTCCAGGTAGTGCTGGGACTCTCCACACATCACTTTAGTGGGGTTTGTATGGCCCAGAAGTCACAATGCACTGTAATGGACGGGGTGGGCACCTGGCAAACATGACTACATGTTCACTTAATGGAAATAGGTGCTGGTGAGTGCTTGAGAAAAAGAAAAATCAAGCCTGTGGTAATGGCTGAGCATTTCTGACCTTTGTTCTAACATTTCAAATTTGTTTTTATTGCTTCTAATTGGCCTTGCTTTGGAGCATGCACATTATCTAACTGTCAGGGCACAGGCTGTCATTATCTGCTGGGTCATTTGGTTTGTGTTCTTTATGATTGAAACTTGTCAGGCATTCCCAGAAAATAGTGAGCTCCCCTTGCAGTATCAAACATGGAGCTGGTTAATTGTGCATCCCTGAGAGAGAAGCATTGGGGCTGATCAGGCATTGATTGTTTAGCTGAGATGGACACAATGGAAACGTGTGTTCTCTGTTTGGAGGGAAAGTGTAAAAATTAGATCAGCAGCAACACAACAGCAGCCAGATTTCTTAGTCTCAGGGATCAGAGGTTACCCATTTTCCAGCCTTGATGACTTATTTTTGATCCCACTCACATGGCTTAGATAACTTTATTTTTACCTCCCTTTGCAATTTAAACACCAATTCTCTTCTGTTTTGACTTTCTTTAATACACCAGCTGCAAAGTCACTAGTTCAAATCTCCCCACCTTGCCTTGCTTCACGAGATGGAAACAAAAGTCAAGAAATGTGTGTGTGAAAGAGCTCAAAATGCCACAGCAGCACAAATGTGCCCCCACTGGTGGCTCTGCAAACCTCAACCCATCCAAAACATCAGCCCAGTTTGTAGGTCTGCTAATTCACTTTAAGGCCTTTAAGATTTGCTACCAATTAGAAATCCAGGTGCTGTTATTTCGGATGTGAACACTACATTCAGAGCAGGGCTTGTCCTGTAGATGGGCTGGGAGACCAGCAGGCAGCAATAGCAACATCCCCAGTTTTGCAGAGTAAAAACAAGCTTTGCTGGGAACACCAGGCTGTTAGACCTCAGAGTGAATTATGCATCTGCTGTATTTAGATAGAAGCAATTTTCCTGTTGAAATCAGAGGTTGGCATTTTTTTTCCCATGGGGTTCTGTAACTCAAAATTGTGTTGAGATCAAGCATGTAGAAAAGGCTTTTTTTAGCTGTAAAGGTGAATGTATTCAGATTATTCAAGTGGTGATTTTTTGGATGTACAATTAGTTGAGTGGGAGATGTGGTATAAATTTGGTATTGTAATTGCTATGCCTCTGAGATTTCAATTTGCAAAGCAGTTTGCATGGCTGCACGATTAACTGTTGTCTGTGCAATGAACATGCAGCAGAGCTGTGCTTTGATTGTGGCTGTCAATTGGCTGTATGTCCAAAAAAAACACACTGTCACAAGTACCTGATGTGAACTGAGTGGTTGATTCTCATGATGCTTCAGTTCAGTAGATGGCTGGAAAAGGCCAGAGTCTGAAAATCTCACCTCTGAGTGCTGTTGGCATGACAGGATTTCCTTGTCCTGCATTAACCAAATCAGGAAAAAGGAAGTTTAGGACCCACTTTTATCCTCTTTTCATATTTTGCATGATATTTTTTCCTTCACTTGCATAGAGGAATGTGGGAATGACACTCAGCAGTGCTGCTGGGTGACTGGAGTGGGTGCAGAGAAACTGGACCAGGAGCTGAGCCCTGCTGCCCACCCAGTGCTGGGAGAGGGCAGGAAGGCTGTCAGCAGTGACATGGGCAGTGCTGATGCAGCCCCAGGGCAAGGGATGGGCTGCCAGGGTGGCTTCCTGATGTTTTTCATGCATCTCCATTTGGTTCACAGCTGCTGCTGTGTTTGGGTCTCCAGTGTTGTCTAGGAACATGTCAATGTAATTAGACACAGAACCAGAGAAACTGCTTGTTCTCACTTCACTGTGCCTTTCAGGTCTTCCTCCCAGGGTCCTCATTTGTTTATTTTTGTCTCAATGTTTATCTCTTCAAAATACCACTATGCCTTAGGTTGGTGATTGAACTGTAGAGATGCAGTAAACGGTAGCAGCTGTGGCAGTGGGGAGGGAAGGGCTGGTGGAGGAAAAGCCCTCTAAGCCCTGGGTCCCATCAGCAACTACATTATTACAAATTTTTAAAATGTATATTAAAACTTCCTTCTGCAAATAAAAGCAGAAGTACTGAAAAACAAACAATTTTGTGGTGAAGAAGGCAGGTTCCTCTGTGTCACTACAGAGAAGCCCAGTTCCTTGGGGTTAGTCAGGGTGCAGGGATCAAGAAAACTGGGGTTCCATCAGCTCTTTTCAGCTCTTCCCAGATCTGCTGCATGGCCTTTGGCAGGTCAGTTCACGTGTGACACGGATGTGTGACATGGATGTGTGACACAGATGTGTGACAGAGCTCCTCTCCCTGCCAGTGTCTGAGGCCCAGTAGGGTTTGGTGCAGCACCAGCACCCGCCTGCACAGGGTCAGCAGCTGCCTTGGGGGTTACCAAAACTGACCTCAGAGGGAGCAGACTGAGAGCTCAGAGTGTATCAGGCACAAGTAGAGAACGTTCTTGTTTGTGCCCTGCCACAGCAGTGGGGGAAAATGAGCAAAGCTGGCAAGGCACGGCTGAGGGGGCCAAGAGCTGCCTGAGGGAGCACCCTGAAGGGTCACTGGAGCCCCTTGGCTGCTGTAAGCAACACTGACAGCACAGTTTCATTGCCTTCCTTGGGATGGGAATGGATAGCTGGGTTTTGCTGCTTGTACAAAGGAGAAGCTGTCTGAAGGTCTGTCTGCAGGGGATGGTGATGACTGCTCTGGGGTGAGTGTAGAGGGACCCCACTCTCCACTGGAATCCCACGGGCAGGCTTACAGGGCAGCCAGAGATGGTTCCTCTGGCTCCTGGTCCCAGTGCTTGTCTCAGAGTCAGCTTTTCAGTCCCACTGAGAGCCACCAGAGCTGGCAGGGGCTGTGAAGGGAAGGTCCCTGCTCTGGGACAGCTCAGTGCTGGCTGTGCCTCCCTGAATGAGGATGGTGCTGCTGGACCCACACCCTCTGCAATTCAGCCTCTCATCAAGTAAGGCCTCTGGACACAATGCTCTGAGTTGTGACACTTTTTCCCCAGGCCAGGCTCTGCCCAGACAGACAGACAGACAGACCAGAGCTGAGGCTGTTGGTCACTTGTGCCCATCTTGCTGTGAGCAATGTGCCAGGACCTGGGGGGAAGAGGGGCAGTGAGAGTGGCAGGCTGTGAGATGGAGGATTTTAATTACAACCTCTAAGCAAAATGGCTCTATAAGTAAACAGAACAGAAATGTTGCAGAATTAACTGTTAACAGAGATTTATTTTTCCTTAAAGTAGCAAAAATTCATCATGCACGCTGTAAACACATACACAGAGGAGTGTTTGCCTGGGAAACGAGTAATGAGACTTAGTTCCTTATCAGGAACTGAAGTGTTACAAAGCAAGTCTTTCCACCAGATAAGCTGTGGGAAGCTGGGGAGCTGGTTCTGTGGTGCTGGGCTGTGAAAAGCTCAGTTCTTAGCCTGTGAACTCCTGGGGCATCACTGCAAAAAGCACTTTGTATTTATCACAACCCTGCTCCTTTGGAGGCCAGTTATAAAACTCCCACAGCTCTGCTGGGGCTGCAGCCTGAAAGAGGCACTGGAAACTCCAAACTATACTGACAACTGAAATTTGGCTAGATAATTCGAGTGAGAAAATTGGAGCTAGAAAATTGGAGTTATGGGCACAGTGCAACAGCAGTATCACATCTTTGTGGGCTCTTTGAAGGCACTGGTCTGAATGCTGGAAGAGTTGGCATCATGTGCTGGTTGTTCCTGGCCACACAATCAGTCTGTCCCCAAAGACTCTGACCCAGCTGTGAACACCCCTGGCAGTGGGGGCAATCCAGCTGTGAACAGATGTGTGAACCCAGCCATCCTGGGAACAGTACATGCCCCAGAAGGAAATATTCACAGTGAGAAGAGGGCTGCTCATGAGCAGAAATGAAGGGACCTCAGTGGGAGAAGACAGTGGGAAGGGCTTCACCCAAAGAGAAGTAATGGGACCCTTCTCTTGGAGAGCTAGCACAAAGCCCTTGAATCCTCCTGGAAGGACTAACCCTGCTCTGGCCAGAGAGGGATGGGACCAGCTGGTCTTTAACACCTCTAATTTGTCTCCAGCTGCCAAAGCCTTCCTTACAGATGCATTTCACAGTGAGACTTCACACACAGCTCCTCCTCAGAGCACACCCTACTCACACTGACCTGCTGCTGGAGCACTGCAGGGGCTGACAGCATCTATCCTCTCTTTTTTCCTTTGGCAGGAAGGACAATGTGCCACCCTATAAATGCACTGCCCAGCGGGGCCCAGGGAACAGCCACGCTGGAGGAAAACCCGAGAAGAGGAGCCTGAAGGACTCATCTGTGTCCACACGCTGAGAGAGGAGAGGAGAGGAGAGGAGAGGAGAGGAGAGGAGAGGAGAGGAGAGGAGAGCTGTAGGGCAAGGTGGAGGAACACGTCGCAGTCAGGAATCGATGATGTTTCTCTTTTTTTTTCCCTCAGACAAATATTTCTAAGATAACAAATAGTCCAAGGAGCAAAGAGGCAGAGGGAAATTAGCTAGAAATTTTACTATTGATTCTTTTTTATTTATAGATGGTGAATCAATTTCAGGGGTTTTTTTTTGGTTCTTTTTCCCTCTCTGTGAGGGGGAAAAAAAGAGTGAACTGATAGATTTGCAGAAATCATTTGTGGTGTCTGAAAAGCTATTTGTTAAAATGAGAAAGCCTCTCCTTCCTCCACTAGTCCCCTTCTCTCTCTTTAAAGGGGTAATCCATACAATGAGCTAATGAGGGAGTCCTGGCTTCTCTACTGCACCATCTGATGTCTCCCCTTTTAGTGCTGGGCTCAGAAGCCCTTATGCCTACTGCATGTGCTAGTCCTGTTAGCTTGCATTAAGAGAGCCTGATAAATAGCTTCTGGGAGCCAGGCAGGTGCTCCTCAGTGTGCAGTTTATCATCCACTGCATGGCTGGGTTTTTTGCTCTTCTATCAGATCATTTGAGGAGAGGGGTCGTGTGAGAAATGGGACTGTCAGCCTGCAGCATGAAACTTGCTGTGAGACCTGTCCAACAGGCAGGGACAGTGGTCCTCCATCAAAAACTGGGGTCTAGAAAGACCAGACTAGCCAAGAGATGTATGACTGAGGCAGAGGCAGTCAGGAGTAGTGCTGAAAGGGGTGAACAAACAGTGGTGTGTAAGAAACCCCAAGTGAAACCTCAGCATCTCCCCATTACATGGACAGCATGTGAAATCTCTGCTCAAAGCCACTGTCACCAGGCACTCTTGTCTCCTGCAATGTGTGACCCTCTGAAATATCTGGCCTTGATTCTCAAACCGGAGACAAAAAGAGGATGGCCCAGAGTGGAGTCTGAATGTCTCCCAGGGGATGGAAAGGGAGAATGCACTTAGAAGTGCTTCTTCTCAACCCATCAGGAGCCTTGGGAAGCAGCTTCTCTTCTGTCTTCTGCCAGATGCTGGGCTGGAATGGTGGCTGGAGGGAGAGAAGGTGCCAAGACCCAGCAGGAAAGAGAGGGAAAGGATGAATGAGACTGAAGGTGAAAAAAGATGAGTGAAACATGAGCTGAATGAGCTCCTCTTGGTGTGGGGTGGCCCTGAAAAAGTACTAACCCCAAACACTGTTCTCTAGTGAAAGAAATGTGTTGGTTGTCCCTCTCCTCTTTCCCAGGACAGGAATGCCATGATCTAGGACAGAGTCAGGCTGAGCTGGGTCCCACATCCCAGTGGATCTCCTGGGAGCCAGTGGCACACGGTTTCCATCCAGTTTGTATTACTGCAGCCAGAATGAGTGAGCAGTGACAAAAGCTTGGTTTTGCATGTCTCTGAAGAAGGACAAGCTACTCAGGATCTGCCAAACCTTGAGCTGAATGCATCTGTGCATTGGCCACCCATTAGCTGGGCTTTCCTTAGTAGCTGTCTGACAAAGGGCACTCACTTGAAAGCAAGAAAGAGGTATCCTACTGTAAGGAAAATGATTTAGAACACCAAGCAAACTTGCTACCATCAGCATTTCAAGGTGAGAGGGTTAAACTGTGTGCATTTTTGGGGAGAATAAAATGCCTTCATATGATGAATTCCAAGGCCTCCAAAAGGCACAGTGCTGCCTCTCTGTCTCCAAAAGCAGAGTAATGAATAGCAGTGACAGTGTGATAATTAAAATGACCTCTTGGAGATATGGATTAGAAGCTACGCAGGGGGGGAATAAGTTCTCCTTTGAATTAATCTAGTGCTAATTTATGACTATCATTGGGTTTTATAGGGTTTTAGTGGAAGACTTTCAAAGTTGGTTTACTGGAGTTAAAACGTTCTTTCCCATGTTCATTGCAAAAACATTTGGAGAATTCCTCATTATTTATTTTTGGATGTTACTATATATACATACATACATATATATATATATATATAATGAGAGAGTTTCACTATTTGCTTAGCCGCAAAAAGACTACTCTAGAAATATGAATAAAGTGATAAAAGCAGCCGTGGAATGAGTGTGTTGTTTCATTTCCATTTCTTCCTCCTCACAGGCTCCCAGGTCAATTCAAAACCAAGACAGCTGGATTGTGGCAAGCCCTTGTGCTACCCTGCTATCAGCTGTCACAGGCTCCCTCTGTCCCACTTGTAAAAGTCAGTATTTTAGTTTAGATTCAATAATTGGATTTTCCTGAAAATCACTTTTTCTACTTCTTACCTGTCTTGTGCACAGGTATCTGCCCCACAGCCTGAAATCTGTAGGTCTTAGGACAGACCTAAAGTTGTTTGCTCATCTGTGCCAGAGATGCTGCCTTTCTGCCGAGATATTCCAACCTTTCAGTGGCACAGGAAGCACAGATTGGAGACAGTTACCCATATGGGGAATGATGACATCCCATTTGTCAAGTCCCATGGTGCTAACCTTCCCATCCTCTCCACCTGCCCAGCAATGCTGTAACATCCAAACTGAAGGTTATGTGCCAAGAGCATCTGCCTTGCTCTTCAGCCGGGCAGCACGCCCGTCCTGGAACCCATCCTCCCCATCCTCGTTCCAGAATGTCTTGTTCAAGCTCTTTGCTCTTGCCTCCCATTCCATTCCTCTTTCCGTTTGTCTCTGGCACCTTCTGGCCGAGCCACAGTTGCCAGTACCCAACTTTTCCATGCTGAGATCCCAGTCACATCTCCCCTGCAGCCCATAGGCAGAGCTGACTTCATGGTGCTTTCCTCAGAGACCCACAGATGCTTTCAGGGATCTCCAACAAACTGTGTTTCCTCAAAGCTCTCCCTGACCATCTGGGGATGGGAGCCTGAGCCTTTCTTTCACTGAGGGGTCTCTGCTAGTTTGCCTGAGGGTTTACAAGCCCCATTTTTTGGGGAGTCTAGCATGGGAGGTGAATATAGGAGACCTTTTTTTCCCAGCGTCTAGTTCCCTTTCCTCTCATGTGAGTGCTGAAGTTCTCTTCCTCCACCAGAGCAGGCAGATCCTGCTTCAAAACCTACTCCTGGCTTGCCATTAGCCTCTTCTTCCTGGAGATGATCCATGTCTCAGATGTAAGGAATGCACATTGAACTCCCAACAATAATTCCTTATTAGTCACTTGTGTCAGGACCAGGGTAAGGTGACACCAGGAATTCTGAGAAGTTCAGAAGCCAATATGGGTCCAAAACTAGGCTTTTATTTGGACAGAATGATATTTACTCTTAAGAACAAAGGCACATGTTCATCTGAACACAAGTAGAGGGCTTTTCTTGTGAGGAGACCAGTGGCCCATTGCAAAGCCCTGCCTGCCTCCTCACATTCCCAGCTCTGGGGTGCTGCAGGCTCCCTTGGCTGTTCCCAAGGCTGCTCCCTTGGAGCAGTAGCAATGCATTTGCCTCCCTTCTGGAGGACTGAATGATGAATATTAAAATGCTGAAATTAACTTGTTTTCCATGCATTCTGCTCTCCTGACAAGAAAATCCCACTACAAACCCCTGCACGGGCAGTCTAACTGCACTGAGATAGACCCTCACTGTGAGGGGATTATATATTCTGATTGGGACTGAGTTTGCAATTATTCTCTCTGCCACACCAAAGACCTTTACTGCAGAGCTGCAAACCAGTTATAGGAACATGAAATGCTTTGACTTCTTCACTAGGGAAACATTAATCCAATCACAGGTTATGTCCATTACAGACTATGGCAATACTGTATACAGGAATTCCCAGGAGAAGGTTCTACAAAAATTGGAATCTCTCTATAACCATGTTATGAGATTTACTGGTGTGGATAAAATGAGCAGAGTTAAAATTACCAGGCTGGCTATCTCTAAAAGACAGGTGAAGTCTGCTGGCTATCATTGCTTCGCAATATTACAAATGGAAAAGCCCTGAAGTAATTGAATAACACCTCTGCTGAAAAAACCTGTGAACTGCTATAACCTAAAGATAGACTGCAAGGAAACAATGTAGGTACAGCATCCAGTTAAAAGGAAAAAGATGCTTTCCTTACCTGGTGCAGGAAGATATCGCAAATGCAGGTACAGATTCTCTCTTTGCCTCCTAGATTGTGTGTGTCTATGTGTGTGTGCTCTATGTATTTGTGTGTGTGTTCGTGTCTATCTACCTCTTTCTTTGCACATAAAAATGAGTTAAACCAGGTTCCTCAGCAGCCAGGGGAATGGTGCTGGATGGGAATGATACATAAGCAGAGCTCGCTATGTTTCTTTTTCCACTGGAGGCTGCTGAAAACAATTGGCATGGCTAGCAAAGGACCTGGTTTCCATCCCCTAAAATCTCTCTGTCCTTGTGCAGAAAAAAGATTTCAAACCACTTTGCCAGAGTTGATGGAAGTTTTCCCTGTGCTTCAGCATCAGTATTCAGTGATCTATAACCACAGTTTAGCAGCAAAGAGCAAGTTCCCTGGCTCCCTGCAAACCCAGGGCTCCAAGGATGGAGCTGCTGTGGCCGGGGCAGCGCACAGCCCCTCAGGGGGAGGATGGGCACAGCCTGGCCACTGCCTCCACATCACCCTGAGAGCAGAGTGACCCTCAGCAGCACAGTGACCACCATGGCCTCGTCCCTTCCCTGCAGGTGAGTGCTCTGGGGACTGGGCGTTTGTGGTGCGAGGGGATTTCAGGGCAGGCCAACACCCTCCTGTGGCTCTGCCTGGCATGGAGCAGCTCCTCTCATAACTCATGTTCCTCCCCATCTGGTGGCTCTGAGCAGAGATCCAAGGGCAGCAGCGTGGCTGTCAGGGGCTGTCACAGCTGCCCAGTATGGGGAGGTGTGATTTATTTCACATCTCATGCACTGCTCCATGGCAGAGCAGCACACGTGGAAGGATGGAATGCTTTGGAGTGATGCTCAGTATGGGGAGTGTGATTTATTTCACATCTCATGCACCCCTCCATGGCAGAGCAGCACACGTGGAAGGATGGAATGCTTTTGAGTGCATCTGTAGGGCTTTGAATCCTCCTGTGGGAGGAACACAGGGGAGACTGGGAGCATCAGTACTGATGGGCATGGATGTAACAGATATTTTTCTTTTTCATTATGTCTTTCATCAAAAAAGTCGGTTATTTTTGAAAATGTTTTAAAGAATCCAAATTTGTGAAGTATAAAAATGCTGTTTTTCCAGTAAAGCTTCAAATTTACTGTCTGGAAGCAATGGGAACAGAAACCAGCCAATTCAAACTGCACTACCAATAGCCTGTGTATCTGAAGGAAGGTTTTATTACCAGCTAGGGTTTGGAAGAAAAGAGTACTAGAGCAAGTTATGCCATTGGGGATGAAGTCTTTCTGACAGCCATAAGGGAGCCAATATCCTACTGTGATTCCCTGTTATGTACACAAAATTACCCTGGGTATAAAGAGCCCCCTGTTCATTTTGCACTTTTAGGGTTGTTACCCCTGATACTTTCAACCAAAGCAGCCTGAACAAACGCTGAGGATTTGTACTTTTTTCCCTTTGGTGCCAGGTGAAGACAGGGAAGTTTTTGGGGTTGCTCCATGCATGTATTGCTAAGATTGATGAGGATTGTTCTACAGCATTTAGGGCCCATTTTAAGGCTGGGTTAATAAATTTCCAGAGGTGTGATTATTTTAGGCCCTGAGCATTATCCTTGTTGTGTGATGCCCCTTCCAGAGCTGCCATGAGCACTAAATCTGCTCGC